GATAAAGCTAATATGTTAAATGCTCTTTTTCAATATATATCAACCTATGACTAACACGACACGATCCTAATCCTAGTTCGAATTCATATGAAAGTCATGCATTTGGTTTAAATTATCAATAAAGATTGCATGTGTGAAATAGATTGTTCCTAATTCTAACTACACATATTGATTTTACCGCGTTCCAGACTTATAGTGATTATTCCTATGCTACAACATGCAACTAACTACTTAATTGGTAATCAAACAATAAGTAGTGCAATGGGTATGTAAAATCAATCAAATAATAACATGAAATTCCTAAATTGATGTCTTGAATTAAAATAAATGAAAATATGGTTCAACATTCATCTAATACAATTGAAAAATCTAGCCAACCATCCTAATTATTAAACCATACAAAAAATAATGAAAAACATCACTCGGATTGAGAAATAATGAAGAAAGTGGAGGAATCCAATTTCTTGGCTTGAATCTTGAAATATGATGAATATTATTCAATAAACTTGTATAATTTACCATTGGTTGATGATTGCGCCTTGTTCTTTGCCTCCAAAATAAGTAGAATATGTGATTTTTAGGTCAAAATGAGGTCTCCCCCATGTTCTAGTCGAGTTTGGTATATATATGATGCCTAAAATATTGTTACCAAAGTAGAGTTTCAATAGAAAAATGAAATAAAATCTCGCCAAAGGTTTAAACTTAAATTATCTTGGTTTAATTATATTATAAGATGAGAAGTAAAATTGTATGATGTATACTGTCAACCATGAGGTGTGTTGGAAATTTAACAAAGAAGAACTATGGATTCGATAAGAAATTGATTAATAGATATGGGTATACATAGTAAGTAAAAATTGATATTTCTGAGGCACCGTTGATGGAAACTTCTTCAACGAAAGTGTAGCAAATATAATATTAGAGTCAATTGTCGGGGACAATTTAAATAGATAATACAGATGTCCCATAAAGTTGAATAGAAATAACTGGCAAATTAGTTTTGAACAAATCTTTCCTTTTCTTATCGACAAATTTCTTATTCTAAACAGTAAAATGGAATTTTTGCAAGGGCACAGAAGGAGTATTGAGAGTTGAATCGAGCAGCTCCGATTTAAATTGTGAGGGCAGAAAACATTGTAGCAAAGAAAATTGTGTGAAGCCTTGAGGACATGGTTATTAAGCCCGAACGTGATTGATCAATCGAGCCAGAAAACTGACAACTTGAGCCATTGACCAATTTCCGTCTCTAAGCTTAGCCTGGAGCAGACACAAAAGTTTAAAATTAGGGGGCGCAATCGAATTTACAAGGAAATTAAGATAAATTACAAAAGTTTAACGTATTTTTAACTATTTTAGATATCTGTTTGGACTATTCGATATACCCATAATGTAGTTCTCGAAATAAGCTTTAAGATGATATAAGTAATTTGTAGATTCGATTATAAATTTTATTAGAAATTCTATAATGCACAAAATTATAGATTTATATGTAAACATGACTATAAGAGTCTGTTTGATTGCAAGATTGTAATTTGGATAGAAAGAAAATGAATTATAGGGAATTGAATTGCCTAAAACTTGTTTTATTGGGAATTGTCAATTAATTGTATTTGATTGGTATAATTTTCTAACTGAAAAATATTGAAATTTTGGATCTTTTGGTGCTCGTTTGGCTTTGTTTTTTATGTAAATAGTCCATTAAAGGAATATAATTTATAACAATTGGGGATAGAATTTGTTTCCATTGCCAAATTTTTTTTTTTTTTTTGCCTAAAAAAGGTTTTCCCACAAAAATATCAAGAAAATGTGAGCATGTGGGTGAAAGATGAAAAACCAATTCCATGAAAAATTTGGGCAATCAAACATTCAAAAATGTGGAAAATTGAATTTAATTTCCGTATTCCATGGAATTGAAGTGCAATCAAACAGTGCCTAATATTCAATAGTTTATAGAAGTAAAAATAACTAGTAACAAGTAACTTAAAACTTCAATTGCGTCTTATAGAAAAAATTGTATTTTGAAAATTCTAAATAATTTTCTTAGTAGTGACCCAGTGGTGTGACCACTTATTTCGGTGACTTGGTGCCTTGTTCTAGCCGGATTTGATAACTATGCATGAAGGGGAACGAAGATGAATTGGGACTTTCGAAGCGGAAAGATTAAAAGAGTGACAGTAAATTAGCAAATAATGTTGAACTTTCTATTCAGAGAATTACTTACCCACTTTCTTTACTTGATTTTTATAACTCAATTAAAACGGCGAATGACGTTGATCTTTATATTTAGACAATTACTTGCACTCTTTCTTTATTTTCTTTTAATAAAGAGGTTGAGAGAATTCAATGTCTCCCAAACCTCCACCATTTTTTTGTACAAGTTTTTTATTTTATTCAAATGATCCACAGTGACAACTAGCAAGGATTGTGACTTCAATTATGCATTGACAATAAGGATGACATTCTGCTTATGTGTCGAAAATCTAGTCATTGATTAAAAAAGTATTGTTAAAATTAACCTACAAAAATCTACCAATTCATATGACGTCAAATTTGATGTACCTGTAGCATGATTGTTGTAACTTTTGTTTATCTTTCTCGGTTATAACATCTTCATTGTCAAACATATCACAATGTCTTTACTCATTTCAATGTTCGATGTCCTTCTTCATCTTCCTCCTAGATCTGGTCACAAACGTCACAATGAAGATAGTCATGGTCACAATCAATGACAATTAATATAGATTTGTTCACAGAGAGTCACAGTTAACATATAATCTCCACCACCAACCTATCACACCACCTTTGCACCTATACCTAATACCTGCGAGTATTGTATGTGATGAAAGTGCATTGGAGTTGATATGTGTGGTGGTGGCGGCGGTGGTGGAAGCTACGTTTTGGGTATTGGGGTGGTGGCAGTAGTGGTGCGTTGTCTATGAACAAACATGTGTTATCTGTGATTAACCGTGACCAAATTTTTCCTCATTGTAACTGTCTATGACTAGGCTAGTTCTAACGGTGACTGTACATGGCTCATTGCTAATTTGATCACATACAGTCACAATTAATACAAATTTGGTTACAGAGGGACATCACTAACAAATTCGCATACATTGCGCACCAGCACCACAATCCCCCACCAGTCACTACCGCTAGCACCTCCAATGCACCCCACTACCACCTTCAACTCAAATCTTCGACCATAAATGCTACATTCACCTTAAATCCACTACAAAAACTGTCACCACCATCACTTCCACCTCCACCTTATATCCATCACACCCTCCACCTCCAATTCAAATCTCCCTCCACCTCCAATTCAAATCTAAGTGAAATAGTTGGCACTGTGTACCTAGCCAAAAATTAGAAATGAAACATTAAAAATCCATAAAAACAAATAATTTCGTTATTGCAGGACAAAATACGTAATGGAAAGATCCCACAGATCTAATTTATACAAATCAATCTCTCCGATGATTTGTAAAGAAAAATGGTGGCCGGCGATTTTCCAGCACAAGTATTGCACCGGGACTCTTCATCAGTCGGGTAAAATCGAAAATCTAGTGGTAAAGGATCTATTTCATGAATATCGATTTCCTTTAAATTAGAGAGATATAAAGATAGAAAGTGAGAGTGATTTATTTGAAGAGAGAGAAAGTGAGAGTGGTTTGCAAAGAGAGTGAGTGATATATATATGGGGAAGTGCTATGTGGGGAAGTACACATAGAATATTGTATATGCATCTATGTTGGGAGCGAGGGAGGGAGGGTGGTGGCCGATGTGATTGATTTGGAAATATTTCAATTTAAGTGATAGAATAGAGTGCTGTGGGACGTGTGGGGTGGGATGTATGGGTGCGAATTAATTATAAATTAATTGATTTAATCAATCTTCATTATCACCTTAATTATATGCATTATCAAGACAATTTTTATTTTCGTACTTAAATATATTAACTTATTTATTATAAGACAGTTAAGTAACTTACATATTTACTTATAAGTAGATCCTTAAAAAGTTACTTTCTTATAAATTAGGGTCCTAAAAATTATGCGGACCAAAATATTTACGAAAATATTTGATTTCGTAAGAAGGTATGGTTGAGAATAAGTTTTAGAAAAAAATATTTTTAAGAGAATGATAGACAAACAAAAGACTTTAAACCTTATAAGCTCCAAATATTAAAGCAATTTTTTGGCAAACATGCTCTATATATCGTGATTGTGGTCACCATACAATAAGTATAATGCGTACGGTATACCTATATATTCATTGATTTTTACTAATTACTTAAATTGAGAACGAATTTTCAGAGTTAGCTCTTCGGAGTTAGCTTGCTCAATACCGTAAGCTATGTGTTGTTCATGACATAAAGCGTATGTGACACATATCTTGATGCAGTCTTCATATTCCTTCGATTTATCATCGACAGTGTAATAAGAGCCAAAATTCAATAATAGAACTAATGCAAATGTATATTTGTAATGAAATTTAACATAACAATTTACACTTTTGAGTTGACGACAATCATACTTCTTTGATTCTTTGTGTCCACATCTTCCAAAGCATTACTCGTTCAATTCTACGAGTTAATGATTAGATTGATGATTTCTTCAATTGCTCTCGACTTTTATGAGTACTCACGTGTATGGCAACTTTTGAGGCCGTCTCCGCTATCCAAAGGAGATTGCGGGATCCCGTGAATGTTATTTTGATCAAATCTTGTTTCTTTTAAACCCAACGTCAAATCACGTTCATTTTTCACCTAGGTGAAGTCCAATTCAGTCAAACATAAACATGATGAGTCAAATTAAAGGGCAAATAAGTCATTATACAGATTCTTTGAGTGTCATCTTCTGTAAATAGTCCCACAAACACGGGCGAGAATCTAATCCAGACATCTTCACTTTATAGTACGCAATAATTAATTAATAAATTAGCCAGGAGACGACGACGTTTCTCCGGGACCCACACTAAATATTTCCTCTCTTTGTTTATCTATGTCCTTTCCTTCTCCTCTTTCACTCTCACACAGTCACACTGTCCTTCCGACACACACTCTCAAGCAATTTAGATCTGTGTCTACGACTCTTCCCAAAGACCCGGTAAGCATTCTCTTTACTCGTTTGATTTTGTAGAAAAAATAGGAATATTAAAACGTTCATTTAAGATCGTTTGCTGGCTTTGTCTGATTTCATTGAAATGGTTTTGGATTGAGATCTGAGTTTGTCAAAGTAAGTTTTACAGTTTTGTAGAAATAAATTTAGCGTATGGTGGTTCTGGATTATGTACATTTGTTTGAAATTGAGGGTTTTGTTTACTTGAATTCTTTTCTTTTGGTTGGAATATTATATTTTAGTACTTAAAATAATTGACATGCTTGTTAACTTTTTGTGTCCTTGATTGGGTATAGCAAAGTTGCTCCAACGCTTTGTTAAAGATGAATTTTTTTTTCCCTTTTAGTTTAAGTTAGCGGGTTTAAGTTAAGACAAGGATGTTCTTTGAAGTCTTTTATCTGTTTGCAAGATATTTATGGATTTAGACTTCGTGCTATTGCTGAAAAATATCAAATCGACTGCAACTTGGCAAGTTTCATTTTCTTTCTTCTCTACAACTTGGCCCTTGGGATGACCTTAATTTCAGGTTGTTTTTCTTCTTGTCAATGTCTTGGAGAGTATACTTATCTCAGGATTCATGGTAACATGGGTTTCTTCCTTTTGAGTGTTGCCAGTTTTTTATGCACTAGGCTATGGATTTTTCGGTTTGGTTATCTTAGGAATGTTTTTCTGCACTATATCATTAATATTTATATCTCGGTCATATAAAAGAGTGAGTTTCATATGGATGTTCTCTCAGGTTTGCTTGGAGCTAGAGCTGATGGCAGCAGTGGATGCTGAAAAACCTCTCACTGGACAAATTACTTGTGGTTCTTTACTACAGCAGTTGCAGGCAATCCATTATTGAATTTTTTGGATTTACATTCTTCACTGTTTGTATTTTGTTACCAGTACAAACCAGAAGTTGTAATTTTCTATTAGGCTGACAAAAACAAATTCTTGCAATGCAGCAAATCTGGGATGAAGTTGGTGAGAGTGATGATGACCGAGACAGAATGCTCCTTCAGTTAGAGCAGGAGTGCTTGGATGTGTACAAGAGAAAGGTTGATCATGCCGTGAAATCAAGGGCACTCCTTCTTCAGACACTGGCAGATGCTAGAGTTGAACTCACCAATCTCCTGTCAGCACTTGGAGAGAAGAGTTATGTTGGAATAGTGAGTAATTGCCCTTCATGCATATGGGAACAAATTATGAAATTTGGAAGAGCTGTAATGGCGAGCACTGTGAATGAAGCAAAATAAAACTTGCTCAAGTTTGTTTCTGTAGATTGTTAATTGTATCTTATGGTGTCCTGATCTTTTGCAGCCTGAGAAGACTTCAGGATCTATCAAGGAACAGCTTGCAGCTATAGCACCTGCATTAGAAAAACTATGGAAACAGAAAGATGAGCGGATGAAAGATTTTTTTGATGTCCAGTCTCAAATACAAAAGATATGCGCTGAAATTGCTGGGATTAGTGGGCAGGAGGAGAGTCCTGCAGTTGATGAGTCTGACCTATCCCTGAAGAAATTAGATGAATTTCATGCTCAGCTCCAAGAACTGCAAAAAGAAAAGGTGAAGTCTTTAATCTTACTAGAAATCAGGTGCTAGTGATCATGAGGCTGATTTGTAATTAACAAGATCATTATGGTTCATTCTATATAATTTTGCAGAGTGAGAGATTGCATAAGGTCCTTGAGTTTGTGAGCACTGTGCATGATCTTTGTGCCGTCCTTGGCTTGGACTTCTTCAGTACTGTCACTCAAGTTCATCCAAGTTTGAATGACTCTGCAGGTGTACAGTCTAAAAGCATAAGCAATGACACACTGGCTAGATTGTCAGAGACTGTCTTATCACTAAAAGAAGATAAGAAGCAGAGGTTAAAGAAGGTAACTATACAACTATCGATGTGATTTTCGTCTGAGGACTTTGACATAATTTTTCATGCGGATATTATTACATTAATAAAAATTATGTTGTGTCATGATTTCATTTTATAAGCACATTCTCCTATGCTATTAAAGTTCTTGCACCTTATAATTGTATATTAACTTAAGTTCTTTTCATCCTACTAGTATCATATTTATTTCTTGGCAAAGCAGTGACTAAGTCTCACATACTCTGTAGTTGGACGTGTATCCATGGTCATCTCCACGAATCTTAAGAACTTTTGTTATGACAATCATCTTCCTCTGCACAATTATCTGTCATTTGACTTTGTTATATCTTTACAGCTTCAAGAATTAGCAACTCAGTTCGTTGACCTCTGGAATTTGATGGACACCCCTGAAGAAGAACGAAGCTTGTTTGATCATGTTACTTGTAACATTTCAGCTTCGGTGGATGAAGTTACCGTTCCTGGGGCTCTCACTCTGGAAATCATTGAGCAGGTACCTGTATTAAAATTAAGCACCAATTTGGTTTTGCTAAAAATTAGATTTTTAGTAGATTTTGATAAAAGTTATGAAAATATTAGTAGATTTTTAGTCCGATGAAATGTGTGAGTAAAATTAAGCTTGTGTTTGACACCCATTTTGGGGAAAAAATAAATTTTGGAATAGTGATTGATGGAAGAATGTGTGGTTGAAAATTAATGAAAAGTTTTAGATTTGTGTGTAATATTTTTTTATTTAGAGAACGTGTGGTTGAAATGAAGAAAGAGAAAAAAAAATGAGAATGAGAATGGGTGTCAAACAGGGCCTAATTGTTGATTTCGATATAGATTTTTATCAATTTTTTAGATAAACCAAACAGGGGCTAAATTTGAACATATGATATCTATCGTTTACTGATTCAGCCATTTTTATTTTGCGCAGACCGAAGTGGAAGTTGAGAGCCTTGATCAGCTAAAAGCTAGCAGAATGAAGGAAATTGCTTTCAAGAAGCAGGCCGAGCTCGAGGAGATATTTGCCCATGCTCACATTGAGATTGATACAGAGGCTGCTCGAGCTAAAATTTTGGAACTCATTGATTCTGGGAATTTAGAGCCTGCAGATTTATTGACTGACATGGATAATCAGATAGTGAAAGCAAAAGAAGAGGCTTTGAGCAGAAAAGATATATTGGATAAGGTCGAGAAGTGGATGTCAGCTTGTGAAGAAGAAAGCTGGCTTGAAGACTACAATAGGGTAATTGTGTTTTTTTTGCCGCACCCCACCCAACCCTCCCCCCCCCCCCCCCCCCCCGAAAGGGCCTCATTCACACACTTCATCCTTTTGTGGCAAACCCCAAGACAGTAGTTTGAGCAATACACAATGTAGCTTGTATAATCAGAAATTTTCTGCACTAGTCTTCACAAAACAATCTTAAAATTTTTAGAAACTCATTTTGATCAGTTTGCCGCCAATGCCTTCAGGTCACATGATTTGCTGAGATGTCCATAACATAGCACTTTCATATTTACGACTTTCATCAGATTTGAATAGCTTGGTGCAATTAATTTAGCCACTTCACATTAAAAATAAGGGAATTAATAATAGCTTGATGCATTGCATACTGTCCTGTATTTGTTAGAGAAGCAGAACACCCTATCTCTTGTTTCACTTCCTGCTATTTATATCTATTGGCATATTGAATATCTGGGGTACACCAGAAGCTATAGTCCTTGATTTCTGCAGGTCTATTTTTCATTTGATTGTTGACTTTTGATATAAGAATTAAAACATCTTGTACCACCCTAAACGAGTGCTCATAATCTCCAAATCTTGAATCCACATTTTTTTCCTGATAGGAAATAATGTGCTCTCTATCCCTTGAATAAGATGTCTTTCTTGTTGATAAATTGATCGGTTTTTTTAATATGAAAATGGAATGGAGTGAACCGTGCACATTTGGCATTATTGTGCCTCTGATTGTTCATTGGTTAAACAGGATGAGAACCGGTACAATGCTAGCAGAGGTGCACACTTGAATTTGAAGAGGGCTGAAAAGGCTCGAATCTTGGTCAACAAGATTCCAGGTACAGCACTGCACTACGATCCTTACTTTCAGATTGACTTGCGCAGTGGATAATATGTGGGGCTCTTTCACTGCATGTAATGTGATTTTTTGGTAAAAAGGGTAGCCGAAATTAAAATCCTACACAGAAGTCCGTCTTCATTATCAAAGAGCTAAATGTTTTTTTTTCACCCCCTAATTTATTATACTAGGTTCCTTTTGCATGTGAATTAGACTATGCCTTTGATTGTTGAGGCTCACAAATCTATAGATGGAATTCTTAGTCAAGAATATGTTCTACATTACCACTAAGTGCATGATAAAAAATCTAAACATGTTTTAGGCTCATCATTTTTTATATTTGTGGAAAAAATAACACTGGTCATACAACCATCCTTGTTGATTTTCTTTTTCATTGGATATGTAGCTCTTGTTGACTCGTTGGTGTCAAAGACCCGTACATGGGAACAAGATCATGGCATAACATTTGCTTATGATGGTGTTCCACTCCTTGCCATGCTAGATGAGTATATACTGCTCAGACATGATAGGGAAGAGGAGAAGAAGAGGATGAGGGTAAGTCAAATTTGTCCATGTATGAATACTTGGAGCATGTTTGGCTAAGCTTAAAAAGTTTGCTTGTGATTAAATAAGCGAGTTTTAAAAATAATAACTCTTTTACTTATTTCTAAGCTTAGCCAACCATGCTCTCATAGCTTACTCTTAAAAACAAGAATTCAGTGTCAATAGATTCTGCATCTGGTCTGTTTTGCAGGATCAGAAAAAGTTCCAGGAGCAGTTGACTAAAGAACCAGAAACTGTGTTTGGTTCAACACCAAGCCCAGCTCGACAGCCGAGTGCCAAGAAGGTAGTAGGTCCACGAGCAAATGGGAGCACTAATGGGACCACTAACAGACGACTTTCTCTTAACGCCCATCAAAATGGTTCCAGGTCGATTAACAGAGACAGGAAGAGGGACTCCACCCCAGCTGCTCCTGTGAACTATGTCGCAATGTCAAAAGAGGATGCAGCGTCTCACATTTCTGCGACAGAGCCTGTTCCAAGTACACCATAAGTATTTGAAACTAGTAGAATAGCTGCTCTTTTCTTTCATATATCTCGGAAATCATTAGTAAACTAGAGCAGTTGCTGTAAGAGGATGTAGTACTTGTTCGATAAGAGTAATTTCAATACTAAAGACTGAATTAGCTGTTTGTGTTATATTTGGGGTAGCGAGAAGTTCTCGAGTTTCTACTCATGCTGCTCGTCGTTCATTTCTTTGATATCTATTCATATATATATATCACTACAGTCTTTTTCAACAGCGCTACAAGACTGCTATTCAAATCTAACTTTTATGGCACATTGCGCAGTAGTGGATAGGGTTCATGCAACAAATACACCAAGTCGATGAACTTGTTTAGATAAATTCTAGTACAAAACAAACAGGATGCCGACCTTGATGCTTTGAGGAAAAAAAAAAGAAAGAAAAGAGAAGAAAAGATAACCTTGACGACCTGCAAATAAAGAAAACTTAAAAACTAAATTTCGTAAGTCTTTGTTTGACCTTTATTTTTTTTTTTATATCTTATTTTTAGCCACATATTTTCGTGAGATTTACAATTTTTTTGAACTTTTCAACCCCACATTCTATTAATTTTATCAGAATTTATTAAAAATTTAATTGTTATCTAAACCAAATAGAGGCTAAAATAAAATTTGACATTAATAACCTGTGTAGTTATTTGAGTGACTAATTTGAAAAAAGAAAAATAAAACAAAGAAATGAGGTGAGCTAAGCACATTCTATTTGATTTTGTTAAAAATCAGATTTTTTATATAATTTAGCCGTCCACATTATTTGAGATTAGGGTTGGACAAAACTCCCAAATCAAATTGAACTGGACCCAAACAGAACTGAACCGAATCGAGTGGTTTTTCATAAAATACTCGAACGGTATCTGAATTGAGAACCGACGGATTTGGTTCGATTCTCGATTCTAGACCCAAAGTTCTAGACCCAAAGCTGAAGAATCGAATAAAAATCGAATTTAAATAATTTTTTATATTGAATTAATGAATTTTTTTAAATTTTTCTAAATAAGTTAGCAAATTAACTAATTAATGATTAATGTTCTAACTCACAAGCCAAATCCATGCATGGCTAGCCCAGTCCAACCCAATTTCTAAATTCAATTTTTTGGTCCAATTATTAATTTCATTCTTAGTTCAAGATTTAGGTCATTTTAAGTTTTTATCATTCTCTTTCCAATTTCACACTTTCATTCGATAACCACTGAATCACCGACCCAAAATCATTTGATAAATTAAAAACCTACATCTACATACCTAAATCAAAGCTGCTGACTGTCGAGTCCTACTTCCCCTCTCCAACTGTCCATCAAAGCGGCGACCTTCAACCACGACCACCAATCGTCATTAGAAATCTGTTAAAAAATTTAATTATAATACAGAATCGAACATAATCGAATCGAACTGAATCGAAAGAAATCGAATCCGAATGGTTCCATAATTATATTTGTATCCGACAGTTTCATTTATTAAATACTCGAAAATCTTGGTTCGGTTCGGACCATGTCCAGCCCTATTTGAGATTATAATTTTTGAAATAGTATTTTATTTAAGAATATGTGGTTAGAAAAGATGAAAAAAAATATTGAATTTTCGCATAATTTTATTTTATTGAAAAATGTTAAAAAAGATATTGATTACAATTCTAATGGGCGTTATTAAATGACGCGTTGGAGCAATAATTAATCGCTTTCCCACCCCCGCGGGCGATTCTCCGGTGACTCGATGGCCGCTGCTGACAATGAACCAGCAAAGCTCCTATTACCTTACCTTCAAAGAGCCGATGAGTTGCAGAAACATGAACCCCTCGTCGCTTACTACTGTAATACCCTATTTCTCTCCCAATCTTTACGTTTAAACCTTAATAATTAAGAAACTTCGAAAAAGTTAACCTTCACTTTGAGAGACACTGTGTGATTGAAAATCGTGGATTTCATTTATCATGTGATTGGATTATATTGAGTGGGGATTTTTGACAGGTCGATTGTATGCGATGGAACGAGGTTTGAAGATTCCTCAGAGCGAGCGTACCAAAACCACCAACGCCATCCTTGTTTCCCTCATGAAACAACTTGAGAAGGTTTTTTCCTTTTATTTTTATACGTCTAAATGATTCATTATGATTTCCTGTTGATTAATTATTTATGACCAGGGTAATTTAAAATCAAACCCTAATGTAAGTTCATGATTTGAAGTTACATGACTCTGTTCTTGCCTTCTTGGTAAGGTTTGAAATTATGGTATGGTATATGTGGGTGCAAACCTATTGTGCGTTATGGTTTGGTTGCATATATTGTGTATAAACATTAAATTATTAGATTTTCTTAGTTTGCATTGGGTTTAATGATTATATAACTAAGTTTCAGAGTTCATATTGCTAATTTATTATTTTTATGCAATTCTTCTGATTTGAGCGTGGCCATATTTTATGGATATAATCTTGTTTCCAAAGCAAAGGTTTAAAATTTAAATTTGTTGGTGATATACAGTGATGCGGCAAATAATGAATTAGCTTTCTGTTGTCTCATGTTTTTGTTCATTTGCAGGATAAGAAGTCATTGACGTTAGGGCCCGATGACTATCTTCATCTGGAGGGCTTTGCCTTGAATGTCTTTGCAAAAGCAGATAAGCAAGATCGAGCTGGGCGAGCTGATTTGTACGAGAAGTTTCCCAACTTCTTAAGCATTTATGTTTGAGTCATTTTTTTCTCGTGTTGTCATGGTAAATGATAGATTTTGTGCTATCTTAATTTGGACACCATGCTTGTTTAATGGGGGTTGGGAGTAGAACTGGAAATCGTAATTCTGGGTTCTGAACTCTTTAGTGCCCATTCCTATACACCGTTAAAATGTGGAAAAAGAGCGACAAAACATTAATATGACCAGAGTGAACTCAGTTAAATATTTAGATCAAGAAAGGAAATGCTTTATTGTACAACTACAATTATTTTCTCTAACTTCGAACTGATTCTTTATTCCTATTCTTCCTCACCTCACTTTCATATATCAAATAAGCTTGAATAGATATTCCAAAAAAAGAAAAAAAAGCTTGAGAAGAAGATGTATTTCCCCCAAGAAACTGGACTTGCTTCTCTCTCCTTCTTACCTACATGAAAAACACTGGCTAATTATTGTGCTCTGTCCTTAAAAGTTGTGGTCTACAATGTAAGTTATGCGATGTAAATCATATATATGATGTCCTGAAATCCAGCATATTTGTGATATATTTTGATAGGACTTCCATGAAAGAATAATTTAAAATTCATTTACGATCATTGATTGACATAAGACCAAGAAATGCCATATAGTTCTCTTGGGTTTAACATATGATATAAATGCACACAACTTGTGCTGCAGCAAGTGGAGCGCACATTGACAAGCATTATTGCACCTAGACCCAAGTCACGCTTTATAGTATTTATGTTGGAATCAAGGCTAGATCAATTAAGTTGTTATAATGCTGCTAAATATTTTTCTCCCCCATCTCTTTCACAAAAGTAAAATTTTATATGCAGGGTTAGAATTCATCACTTTAGAATGAGTGGATGTAGATTGAATACATGCTTAGACACACACATATAAAGAGATGGGAGAACATATTATTTTGATCCACCCCTTGATCCTTTCAGCTTCTGATTGCATTTGGTTCTTGCAGGAATACTGCGAAAACTTTTTATGCAGCCAGCATTTTCTTCGAAATTATCAATCAGTTTGGTGAACTTCAGCCTGATGTAAGTTTATGACCTCATATCAATATCAAGATTGACAGTTTGCTGTCACTTTCTGCTTTAGCGCACACCTCTCTTTTTCTTTTTCTCTTTCTATTTGTTTATTTTGGGTCCTCTCCCTTGTCAATGAAATTATTTTCTGTTGATCTTTTGTCTTTGTTTTCAATCTTTCCAATAACCTATTATACAGCTTGAGCAGAAACAGAAGTATGCTGCGTGGAAAGCAGTAGATATTAGGAAAGCTATAAAAGAAGGGAGAAAGCCTGTACCAGGCCCTCCTGGGGGAGATAAAGATCTATCAGTGCCATCAAGGACATCAAGTGGTGACCACGTAACTTCTATACCCTATGAGTTGCTACACTTGATTCATTGCATGGTGTAACTATTAGTTATATGTGGTGGGGTCATGGGTGGATATAATTTCCTCACTGAAAGGTGAAAGCTAAAATGGAATCATGGAGCTAACAAGTGGGGATTATACCAATGTCTTTTCTTATTTTATTGATATTTGAAAATGCTTATAGCTGGAATTGCTTTGTTAAGTTTACCCAATCAGTGAGTTGGAAATATGTTATGATAGTTGAGGTAAACTAGGAAGTGCTTAGGCAATTGTTTGCATGGCCTATGACATGGTGTACGAGTGCAAGTGGCTGATACTTGGAAATCTGGTATGGAATCAAAATAATATATAATATTCTGAGCTCAGACCTGCAAAAATTTTGTTTTCTTATTTGTTTGGCAGTGTTCTAGAAGTTTTTGTTCCTTAATTTTATACTTATTATTAAATGATTTAATGCCATGGAGGTTCTTATATTTGTCTCAACAAATGCCTTTTGTGTGGAAGATATAGTTCTTATAAAAAGACTAGTTAAAGAAATAAATTCTTAATTAATAAAGTTCCAGACACTCACAAATGGTTCGCTGTAAATTTTTATGGTAGTTCAATCTTCTCTCTTTCAGGATCTTGATCCAAGCACAAATGATTTAGCAGTCAGATCTGAACCAGGAATAACAGATCCTGCTACTAGAGCTGCACCGGAATCTGATTCATTTCCTCAGTTGTACGATAAAGTCAACTCACATCATTCTACAAGCATTTCTTCATCACCATCAAGTATTCCATTATCGCCGCCTTCGAACATAGTACCACCACCTCAATATCCTACTGATGACACTTACCATCATCCACCTCAATATCCTACTGATGACACTTACCACCAGCCACCTCAATATCCTACTGATGATACTTACCACCAGCCACCTTCAAGCAACAGAACAGAACATTCTCCTTATTCTCATCAGCAATATCACCCTCCACCCTACCACCAAGAACCACAGCAGCACTTACCGCAACAGTACAATCCTCACGATGTTCCCCCATACTCGTATCCCGATTTCCAGTCTTACCCTGGTTTTTCTGAAAGTAGCCTTCCTACAGCTCCATCTCATTACCCTTCTTATCACCAAGGCTCTGATAATTCCTATTCCAATTCTTCACCGTCTAACACTGTCAACTATCCATCAACTACTCAATACAATTCTAGTGGCAGGAATGGAAGCGTTTCAGAAACTTTACCAGCTGCTGCTGCAGCTACACAATTATACCAGTATGACAGCAGTTACCAGCCTTCACCAGAGAAAATTGCTGACGCACACAAGGCAGCAAGATTTGCAGTTGGGGCACTGGCATTTGAGGATGTTTCTATAGCGGTCGACCACCTTAAGAAATCTCTCGAATTATTAACAAATCCATCAGCTGGGCAATAGACCTTGTTTTATTTTACCTGCTTGTTTCCATGATTTTATTTGTAAAGATGTCTGGTTCACAAATATGTTTTCCTATGTTTGAATCATGGTGGGGGTGATTACCGAACATGTAACTTGAATTTGTTAAAGGATTTGGAGTGAATTGAGGAAGTTGCATTTCTCAATTTGTATCTTGCCTGTGACAAATGAGGCGATTATTTGATGGAATTTGAGATTGTATGATGAAAATCTAGTTTCACGAAGTTAGACAATTGAAAGGCATATGAAAATTTAATGGAGATTTTAACTATAATGAGAAGTTAAGGATTAATTTGTGACTCCAGAATAAGTTAGGGATTATAGGGAAATTTTCTCAAAGACATGATAATAATTTACAGCTACAAAGAAAGGGAAACAAGATTAACAAGTTTCACCTACTTTAATTACTTGGATTAAGGGAACGCCAAAATTACACAAACGGTCCATTATGAAAGGTGACTCAGTCAGTAGAAAACACACAAACACCAAAAAGAGTGGACATTGTACTCTTCTTTTATAAATATCTTCTTCTTTTTTTTTTTTTTTTAAAAAAAAACATTATCTCACGCTAAGCAAGAGAAAGAGATGCAACTATATGGAAGAACTGAAGCTGTTCTAGTAGCTCTTTAGCTTGGCTTGAGGCTCGGTGCTCGACTCGATAGAACAGCTCCTCGCTCAGTTGATCACCTATGTGTGCATCAACTAGGACCCCACTAACGCTCCTGCAGCTATTGGCTAACGCACGACCGATCTCAGCCGCGTCATCTGGTTGGTTAACAACAAGAGGGCTCCCTCCTCTAAAAACGTCAAGCTTGTTAATGATAAATGAACCATCGGCTTCGACAACCTCCTTGAAGTCATGTAGGCTTGGTGCATACACCGGAATATTGAAGTTGTCCCTTTTCTCACTAGTAATTAGTCCCTGTGGTTTTGTTTATCCAATTAGTGAAGTGTTCAGTCACAAGGATCAACGTCGTAGCATAAATAATATATGCATGAATGTAATGTACCAAAGAATCGTGCTTTACGATTGACTACATATTTGTCCCCCACTTGATGTTGGTTATGATGCTAGGTAGTAATAGATGTCCGGTGGCAAATTGGAAGTCCCATTCAAAATGGCCAATACGACAAGATTTAATCATGGGCAGTGACAATGTTTGATAATTTGCTATCATGCCTTACTTTCCAAACCCAATTTGATGCGACATATGTTTTTTTTCTAGTTCAATGAACAGTGTTGATGACACTTGAAGCAATGTAATGAGATATATATTTAACGTGCTACTATGAGTAGAGAAAGAACCCCTAATTGTCAATTATGTCGTTCAATGTTGTTCCGAGCAAGAAATATAATTATCTCAATAGTATTGTTTATTACAAGTAGGAACCATGGTGAAAATCGAATTCGAATGGGAAGATGATATGATTACCTCTTGAACAAGATCATCCCAAGCATCTTGAAAATGGGTCCCAAAGAGAAGGCCAGCCCCACCTTGGTCCGTAGGGTCCAAGGAAGTCCTTCCCAAGCAAACTAAGAACATGGACCCTCCTCTTTTCATTTCTTTTGATCTTGATCTTAAGAACCCTGCTAAATCACCCTGGAATTGCTTCTTGTAAGCAGTGGCTGTGCTTTCATTTGCTCCATGGATGAAGATTTTTCCTTTGTTGTACGCTGTCGATCTCTTATCCAAGACAATATCCGGAACCTAAAATATTCCAAAAGAGCTTAGAGATAATAAGATGTGATTTCAAAGTACATCAAACTTACTTATAAGTTACTTATTTTGCTAAAGACGATTTTCAAAATTATGAATTGGAAGCACGAAAATCACCAGCTAGTATGAAAAGTGATTTTGATCAAAACTAGGGGCCATGATTAAGTTCATAACTTTTTGACTTTCAAAAGGATAACGAAAGGTTGGGAACTTTTTACATTTAAACTGTGCTTGAATGCAATCATCCTCGGTAACAAATTATAGTAAACCAAGAATTAAACATACTTAACGAAAAAAAAACATATATAATTAATTGATATATTAAGAATAATATGAACCTGAGAGAGCCAGTGCAAAGAAAATGCCGAATAGAAAACATCAACAGATTTTGCCGGAAAGAGACGCCGGTAAAACGATCCGGGTACTCCGGCAGCAAAGTAGGAGCGGTGACTGTTGGAAGCTAAGCATTCCTCCATGCTACCACCACCATATGGAGGTAGAAGTTGAAAGAGAGTGTTGAAGTCATTAGAAGGAAGATCGGAAAAAAAGGCAGAGAATTCCGGCGGCTGCTCGTAGTCGGTGGCCTCGTAGCGCTTTGTTATGTGCTTGATAATTACATCAATCATGTATATAGTGTTGCTCCCACATGAACATCCTAAATCTGCAACAACGAAGGGAATTTCTGGGGAATTCAGCTGTACTAAATCTAGGGTTTCTCTCAGAAGATGAAGCATCGATCGAGCATGTTGAGCCTGCACATATGACATATATACATGAAGCCAATGTTTACAAATGCATACAAATTTATAATAAAAATGAAGAACCAGAAATTAACACAAAATATGGGGTGATTAAGAAACCTGAGCCTGAGAATTATTGACATAGCTAGATTCTCCTTTGCCACCTTTCATGCTAAACGTTTTTTCCAGACTTTCATTAGAAACATCAGATTTATGCCCTACTGGAGCCATTTCTTTTCTCTCTTTTTTTTCTCTGTAACCCGTGGTTCTGTGTTTTGTTCTCTTAATCAACACAAAGGCGTTAATTTATAGCCATTTTTCTAAATAAATTTTGGTAAATTCTTAATTCCCATGATTTTTCTTTCCTTTTCTTCTATTGACGAAAATTTTGGAAAATAATTAATTTGAGTCCAAATCTGTCTACACTGCTATTAGAGAATAGAGACACGAGACAAATTTTTAGTTTTCGTGTCTAGCTGTATCCAGTCTAAAGTAATAAATATGCCAATAAATTCTTGATTTTAACAGAAAAATTAAACTCTTCCTCAATAAGAAAATAATAATAATAATAAAAAAAACGAAGAACCTGAAAGCACATACTGTGGTGTAAGAAATTAACCTGAGCCTGAGAGTTGTTAACATAGCTAGCTTCTCCTTTTCCACCTTTCATGCTAAGCATTTTTTCGAGTTTTATCTTCGTTACTACAACATTATCTCCTACTGGAGCCATATGTGTCTCTCTTTGTGTGTGTGTGTGTGTGTGTGTGTAGAGAGAGAGAGAGAGATGAAATGGTTGTGACGTTGGAGAAGAAACACTATGTTGCTGCTATATAAAGAGAGGAGTGGAGGGTAGTATTTGTATTGTGAGTAAATGTCGACATAAGCTATATGTAAAAAGGAGGTGGAAGACTGGGTATGGGCCTCACATGCAACAAGAAAGAAGGCCCAAGATTGACGCCGGATTTCCATGTTTGAATCTCTACGCTATATATATGATTTTTTCTGATGATCATAACAATCAAGATTCATGTCTATGTTATGAACAAACAAGAACGAATGACTGATACAACATATAAACATTTAAAATCTTGGTAATACGTCGTTAGTTCGGGTCAAAATTTCACGTTTTTTATATTCATATATAACGTTACAAGGTGTCACGCACTGCGATTGCTCCACTCCCCACATGGCACGACAAGGACGTCAACAACTATGCATATGACCAATTTTATCCAAGAGTACACTAATGATATCATCGTAATCGCATGTAAGTATTGTCTAACATCCTACCTATAAATATGCGCGTGATGTTGATAGTCTTTTCTTTCTAATTTAACGTGCCAAAAATATGTGACAAAATAAGTAAAGAGGTTTGGTAGAGAATGATAAAACCTGTTTAAGCAGGGGACCAACCTTTATTTCCAAGTCGGCTTTAACCCAACCGTCGATGTCAAGAAGTTTGACTTCAAATTAACTACCAACGGCATACGACGTTGTATTATTCGTATAGAATAATGATTATAATTAAGTATTTTCTTAATGACAACACGAATCATTAATTGTTTATTTATTATACGCTTTCTAATGACCACGAAGACATCATATAATTAATTAATTATTTTTATGTATTAAACATATTGTTTGGTTGTGATCAAGCAATTAGTTAGACATTATTAACTTTTCTTTAATTACTTGGATTACATGAAAAGTGGGTGATTAGAAGCTAATGATGGTGATTATATTTTGATTATTCCTCTCAACTGTCATCCCAGAAATCAAGGTTTAATTCTTAGCATAATTTTACAGATTTCTATTTTTTAGTATTTGTTCTTTGTTCTCTTTGTAATACCAAACGTTTGTGCGACAACGAAGTTTAAGTTAAAAATAACAATTGCGTTTAGTGAAATAAGTAATATAAAAATAAATTTAACTTATTTTTAAGTAGAAGGAAATATGCTAATCTGAACTCGGCTCAACTCGATTGCCACTCTAATTGTAAAGTGAAAATCTTGACAACTATTAATTTATTTTATGATTTGTTACATGATCATTTTTTTTTATCACATATCCACACAATAAAATATTTTACACGAGTATAAAAAATGAATTTCTACTTTCTAAACATACATTCTTGTGAAAATTACTATTCAAAACTCTTTTTTCTACAATAATGATTGTCAAACATGCTCTAATTGTCATCGACCGAGAAGCCATAATGTGCACAACCACCGAACCACCCAAGTCTTTGGAAGCTGCTAATCTTGCAAAATCGTGCAACCTGAATTCATATTATACGAATAATGTTGTTCATCTAGAGTCTAGATAATTATTCGATAGGGTTCACTATCACATTATCCAATGTATGAGAATAAATAAAAATACATTCGAACTCCATTGAACGAGATAATGACCTTATGTCACATATACGACGATAAGTATCTAGACTCTAGGATCACATTTGGTTCATAGGACGAGACCGAATAAAAAAATTAGGTTAAATTATAATTAATATGATATTATGGAATTTTCTTTTAAAAGAATGTTGCCTACTATTTATTTTTTCATCTGGTTTAAAACAAATTATATCCTTTTTAATGAAAATAAAATAATACTATCCAACTTATTCCATCTACATATCTACAAACCCTTTTGACAATGTGCATTATCTACAATACATAAAAAGGTAAGATTTAGGAGAAACTTTTGATTATCAATTTTATCCTTACATATTTAGCTATAGGTCCAATATACCCTCATTTATCCTTATATCTTCAATTTTCCATTTTACCTTACATTTTTATGTTTATGGTCAATAATACCCTTAAAATTAAATTTATTACAACTAAATATAATTATTATTAAAATTAAAATTAAGTCAGTTAATTGTCAGTATATAATTAATAAAAACTTGCACAAAAATAAAATAAAAATTATAACAATGCTACATATATAATTAACATGAAATTGCATAGACTATTAAGTCAATTGATATTAATATATAGAATTTATAAAAATAATAAATTATATATACAATTAAATTTTTTAAACCTGATATTACATATTAAAAGAATATTGCATTCCTACATTGAAAATGAAATGTAATATTAGATGAAAAGTTATTTTTCTAATAATCCATCAACTCTATAATCACCATTAATTCCCATTAACTTGATAAATTATGAGACAAAAAGTCATTTTTTTAATAACCCAAGTATTAATAGGTGATAAATATTTGATTTCACATTTTACTTTTACATAACTAAGTTGTAGGACGTTGACAAAAATATTGTGTATAAAAAAATATTATTTTAATGAAAATGTTATATTTTAATTTATTCAACCTTTCACATTATCTACATAATTTCATAAAAAATGTTATTCGTATATATTCTTTTTTAATTTTACCTTTAACAATATCAATTACATCAACTACTTTTCAAAATAGTATTAGCACTTTAAAAACATTACGCATATTATTTATCTGATACATAAGGCGTGCAACACACGTTCTTACTACCACTTTTACAAAACAAACCATATTTGGACATTCATATTCAAACCTAAATACTATTGAAATACTTGAAACTTTGAACGAGGTTAGGTAAATAGATTGTCGAAATAATTTTGGGTGTCTGAATAATCCCTTGTTTGGTTTCCATTAATATTTTTATTCTCATTATTCTACTCATTTTCAACTACACATTTTTCAATAAAATAATATTTACCGTCACATCAATAACTCTTTCTTCGTTTTTAACCACATATTTCCCATCCATCACATCAACAAAATACATTCTTCTATACAAAATGTGCACCAAATTAGAATTCAACCTAAAATGTACTTTAACCCTTTAACTCTTTACCTTTTCTTGCACACTGGTGGGACCAGTTTAAAAATTGGAAGAGAGACCGAGAGGAAATGAGAAAAGAAGTAAAATTAAAGGCAGTCAACCAAGGAAGGAGATGATAGTTTGGTCTGTTAAAATCGACTAGTTTTCAAATTAAGTCCCGGGATTTTATCCAACGCTGATACTAAACACTTCCCTTTACTGCTTTTGTATCAAATTAAGTGCTAAAAAGTCCACCACCGCCGCCGTGATAGTCGCCGTTTCACGTGAATCTATGCCGGAAGTTAAATCCCTATCTACTCTTTAACCTTCAACCACCCTATTAAATATTAGTTTAACTTTCTTGTCAACACCTAAACCATGCATGCAAATATATATAAAATACATATATCTGCAACTTTTCTACTGTTGGGGTACATGATGATTCAAAAACAAAATAAACCTAGTCAATAATTCTATGTTAAATGGACGTTTTTTCATCAGCTTTTGTTGGTTTGTCCCTCAGAGGGTTGAAAGTTACTGAAAACCCTATTCACAAAAATAATTTATGGGATGGTCAAAAGGACTGTACATATTTATATGCTTTGAGAATAAATAATTCAACCAATATTTGCACTTTTTGTCTTTACTTTTCACTGTCTTTGCTTTCTTGCTAATTGCAGGTTTTGGGGTGGTCTGACAAATCTTTTGATAAAAGTTTTAATAGATTTTAATAAAAGTTGATGAAATACGATCATGTTCAGTTTAGATAAAAATCAGATTTTTAGTATATTTTAATAAAAGTTAATGGAATGTGCGTTTGATTTCATAGAATGTGTGAATAAAATTAATTGCTAATTTTGACTTAAATTTTAATCAATTTTTTTAGCTGAACTGAATAAGGGAACAGTTAAAAAATTAATAAAAGTTATGAATCTTACAATAAAAATTGAAGTTTGTCCGCTTGAAATCTCTAAAATGTTAGCGACTTTTTACCAATCCAGCACTTAAAAGTTAATACGAGTGGGGATAAATCTTATATATTGTCGTATGTAGTGTTGTCAATACACCATATGGATAAAAAAGAAAGCCCTTATAATTTCTTTCAATTATGCAAAAGGACAATATACTCCCTTTCTCATCGTGGACGCTATGAATAGTAAAAGAATGATTGTGTCCCTATTTATCATTTTTGTTTGTGACTAATATTTATAAAATGGCTTAACAAATTAAGTACAAGTTTCATCTATGGGATGATTTTCTGGAATCAATCTTTGATATTTGAACAATTTAAGTCTTAATTTCAATGGACAACTTATTCAAGGCATGTCCTATTCGATGCTGCTCATGCAAGGAACACACTTCCACTTATTGCTGAAAAATATTCACTTTTGGTTTTGGATT